CCCCCCCCCCCCCCCCCCGGCTCCGTCGCCCCCCCCTTGCTCCGTCGCCCCCCCCCCCCGACTCCTTCACTACGACCCATCGTATCCACGATCAACTCCCCTACCTATAAGCTAGCACGTTTTCTGTCAGATACCTTGCTACCTTTCACTGGCAAGACCTCCTCAGCAGTACTTAACTCAGCTCATTTGGTCTCTATGGTCAAAGACGTTGTACTGTCCCCTGACGATATCCTTGTCAGCTTCGATGTGGTCTCCCTGTTCACCAAGGTCCCGGTACCTGATACCATTGAAATAATTGAAAATTTGGTACAACATGGACTAGACCCCGATACACCTGCGCTGATTAGACACTGCCTCACCAATACCTACTTTACTTGGAATGGCACCTTCTACAAACAAAATGAGGGTACCCCCATGGGTTCTCCCTTATCACTAGTGATAGCCAATGTTTTCATGGAGAAATTTGAATCAGACGCCATCCAGACTTCCACCCTCAGACCTTCCCTGTGGAAGAGATATGAGGATGATACTTTCGTCATTTGGCCACATGGCCTCCCAGCTTTGAACCTTTTCCTACACCACATCAATTCTAGACATCCCGCCATCAAATTCACCATGGAAGTGGAGAAAGATGGCAAGCTACCATTCTTGGATGTTCTGTTTGAGAGGAGACCTGATGGCTCACTGGTGCATTCTGTCTACAGGAAACCCACCCACACAGATTCCTACTTGAAACCTGATTCCCACCACCACTCAGCTCAAAAGAATTATCTCATCAAAACATTATACCACAGGGCACATTGCATTTTGGACCAACACCACCTGACCAGTGAATTAAAACATGTACACCTGGCCCTCAAGAGAAACGGATACTCTGACCGTACCATCCGCCAAGCTGTTTCTCCCTCCATACAGAAACAACCACTTGATACTCCGGTCAAAACCATCACACTACCATATATAGCAGGCGTTACTAAAAAGATCTCCAAAATTCTAAACAAACACAAGATCCTGGTCCAGTTCAATACAGTTCACAAAATCCGTGACCTGATCCCATCCGTGAAGGATGTCGTTCCTGACTTACAGTACCCCGGGGTTTACAAATTGAGCTGCACTTGTGGTGATTGCTATATCGGGGAGACTAAGCGACATGTCTCTAACCGAATTCGCGAGCACAAATCAGATTTGAAACACAGCAGAACGAATTATTCTGCCGTAGCTGACCACTGTTACAACGCTGTGGGTGATCACGATATAGTTTTCTCCGATAACAAGGTTCTCTGCAAACCCACGGGTTTTTATCAGAGATTTGTCCACGAGGCAATTCAGATTTACAAACACGGACACAATTTCAACCGAGAGGATGGTTTCAAATTAAGCAATCATTGGAAAGATGTTCTAAATCAAACCAAAAATTAAAGTAATTTTCAATGGTACAGTAATTTTTATTCAAGTAGTGCTATCCCAAACTTTCACAGCTGCTTATTTCTCTCCACTCACTCACTCCACTCACTCACTCACTCCACCCACTCACTCTACTCACTCTACTCACTCACTCACTCCACTCACTCTACTCACTCACTCTACTCACTCCACTCACTCACTCACTCCACTCACTCCACTCACTCCACTCACTCACTCACTCCACTCACTCCACTCACTCACTCCACTCACTCCACTCACTCCACTCACTCACTCCACTCACTCCACTCACTCCACTCACTCCACCCACTCTACTCACTCTACTCACTCACTCCACTCACTCACTCTACTCACTCACTCTACTCACTCCACTCACTCACTCCACTCACTCCACTCACTCACTCACTCCACTCACTCACTCCACTCACTCACTCCACTCACTCACTCACTCCACTCACTCCACTCACTCACTCCACTCACTAACTCCACCCACTCACTCACTCCACTCACTCACTCCACTCACTCACTCCACTCACTCCACTCACTCACTCCACTCACTCACTCCACTCACTCCACTCACTCACTCCACTCACTCACTCTACTCCGCCCCCCCCCCCCCCCCGCTGCTGGTCCGTCATGGTCCCCACACGCTCCTGGTCCATCATGGCCCATGCACCTCCTACGTACATCGTGCTCATTTTTATGCTAATTCCTTTGTCAAGCGTTTTGCTTCCTCCCACACAGCTTAAAGGACGCGACCTGGGCTTGGCTGTTTTCAGTCCAACGCTGTCCTCATGACATCACGGTCCCTTCACCTGATGAAGGCCACTTGTGTTGTGGCTGAAACGTCGTGATTTTTTGTTATTTTATTATTACCTACGTGACTTTACCGAATAGAACCAAAGAGTATGGATCCTTGCAGTCACGAAAGCTTCAAATCTAGAATCCATACAACTTACTACTTCAACGTCTGTTATCTATATTGGTCAGATGAGGTGGTACGTACCTCGTATCAAACACACACAGAATGTTGTACACCATATTCTTGGTTCTTTCGGTAAAGTCACGTAGAAGGGAAATAATAAAATAATAAAAATAAAACATAATAAAATTATCACGACGTTTCAGCCACAACACAAGCGGCCGTCCTCAGGTGAAGAACAGAGCTGTCTGAAAGACAGCGTCCTAATGAACACCGCTAAGCTTGGCAGCGTATTTTTACATGCTGGGTGGGAGGAGCAGAGGGCCTTTACAAAGGAGTTTACATATCAACAGAGGAATTTAGCATATTGATGCTAAAGAACTGCAACTACCCTACTACCATACAATAAACCGAAAAATAAACATAAACTACGTCAACATAATCAATATACTCAAAATACTCTCAAATAAGCTGAGTTTACATATGAACAGAAGAATTGAGCATATTGACGCTAAAGAATTGCAACTACCCTACTACCATACATCAATATACTCAATATACTCTCCAATAAGCTGAGCTACTAACAAAAAGTCATTATACATTACACTTCTATGTCGCAAAAATATATGCATCCAAATAAACTTTTTTTTTCTACATCACACGACTATACACCGTACTATACACTGCCATAGACAAATCCCAACATTGAATTATACACTGCGTTACTATACACTACCCTATACCTTAGACTATACATTGTAATATTACACTATGTATTATTCTGCAAACCCTACTGTAAACCACACTGCTGTATATTCACTATACAATTACGATACTATATATTACCCCATGCATTATATTAAACATTACACTCTTATACTATTCATTTTTATATAATCTGCTATACACCATACCATTGACCGTCGCGTGGAAGGTACTAAGAGGAAGCAAAGAAATACGTGGCAGACCATTGTTATAACTCAGTGGGCTCACATGACATTGACTTCTCCAAGACAGAGGTTCTTTGCAAGCCATCTGACTACCATGAGAGATTCGTTCATGAGGCCATCCACATATACAAACACAGAGACAATTTCAACCGAGAAGATAGATTCTGGCTCAGCAATTATTGGAAGGACGTGATAAACCATTTCGGGACTTGATTGATTGTGTTCACGTTTACGGTGAATTTCAGACCGCAGTCCATTCGCTGGCATTGACTAGAAATATTTGGTATTCTCCTCACGGATCGGAGTCTTTGCTCCGCTGCAAGTCTCCTGCTACCACTCTCCCATTACATATTTCTTTGCTTCCTCTTAGTACCTTTCACGCGATGGTCAATGGTATGGTGTATAGCAGATTGTATAATAATAAATAGTATGAGTGTGATGTTTAATATAATGAATGGGGTAATATATAGTATCGTAATTGTATAGTGAATATACAGCAGTCTGGTTTACAGTAGGGTTTGCAGAATAATACATAGTGTAATATTACAATGTATAGTCTAAGGTATAGGGTAGTGTATAGTAACGCAGTGTACAATTCAATGTTGGGATTTGTCTATGGCAGTGTATAGTAGAGAAAAAAGTTTATTTGGAGGCATATTATATTTTTGCGACATAGAAGTGTAATGTATAATGACTTTTTGTTAGTAGCTCAGCTTATTGGAGAGTATATTGAGTATATTGATGTATGGTAGTAGGGTAGTTGCAATTCCTTAGCGTCAATATGCTCAATTCTTCTGTTGATATGTAAACTCAGCTTATTGGAGAGTATATTGAGTATATTGATTATATTGATGTAGTTTATGTTTATTTTTTTCACATCGGTTTATTGTATGGTAGTAGGGTAGTTGCAGTTCTTTAGCGTCAATATGCTAAATTCCTCTGTTGATATGTAAACTCCTTTGTAAAGGCCCTCTGCTCCTCCCACCCAGCATGTAAAAATACGCTGCCAAGCTTAGCGGTGTTCATTAGGACGCTGTCTTTCAGACAGCTCTGTTCTTCACCTGAGGACGGCTGCTTGTGTTGTGGCTGAAACGTCGTGATAATTTTATTGTTTTATTTTTGTATTATTTTATTATTTCCCTTCTACGTGACTTTACCGAAAGAACCAAGAATATGAATCCCTGCAGTCACGAAAGCTTTAAATCGAAATGTTGTAAACCATTTTAGTGAAACCAATCAGGTGTTAGAGTGGCCAGGTGCCAGTTTGGCAAGTGATTTCATGATCCCCTCTCTTCATCCATACATGTGGTTTTCTCTCACATTCAAAACATTCATTTTAAGAGGAATTGGCCTAACTTCCCAATTCCTTAGGGCTCTACTTGTTGAAGGCAAATTCCAGATTTATCGTCGCTTCATGTGAAGGCAAACAGAGCATCGTCCAGATAGCCGTGTGCAATGAGAATGGCACAGACCCTAAATGTACTCCGGATGGTATTTGATGATTTCAATGCCTCACAGCCCCCGAATCATGTTGTACTGAAAATGCACAGCAGCGCTATCAGAGGAAGAAGGATGCCTCAGTGCTGCAGACTCGTATCACTGTCTGGATACCTACAGAGTTGGACTCGGGTCACACCGACCTGAATGTCATTTCACAAAGGACCAGACATTCAATGAACAGAGGTGGCATTTCTTTCTCTTTGCAGGGATCCATGACAGATGAAAAGGCCTCAATCTCAATCAGATTCGCCCGCACGAGAGCAGCGTTGGATGCGGAGAAGGCGGCTTTAGAGCAAGCAGAGCAAAAAGGGCGCGAGCTGCTGTCCCAGATTGAGAAGAAAATCGCTCACTACCAGCACGAGATCAGCGAGCTCCAGGCAGCAGCCACTCGCCTGCAGGCCCTAGCACAGGAGAGGGACTCGCTCGCGTTCCTGCAGGTGAGCGATGAGTCTCCAGTGTCACTTTTGGCACAGACTCCTCTCATCAGCAGCAGCAGAGGGAAGGCTCCAGAATGAGAGCTCGCATCCACTGGGCTTGAGAACACAGCTCCACTCATGGACTCGCATCGCAGCTCCAGTAGCTGCCATTTGGAAGGCCAGCTCATATTTTCTCAGTTAAATGAATTCTCTCTCCCGTCCTTTAACCGATTCCCATTAAGTTTGTTTCATTGTGAATTTAAACTAAATGTTATTGGAATTTCACTTTTTAAATCAACCATACAACAAAAATGTACACGGTATTCATGATTATCATCAGCCATAATCTATCCACTTATTGAGGAAGGCTTCCCCAAGCCATTGCCATATCTCATGATGCCGCGATGCAACAATCCACAAGCGCCTGCTCACGAGCCGATGTCATCTCTGCTTCTTACTTTGTGAACCTCCACTTGGATGCGCGACCTTCATTGTTCATATCAGGGATGCTAAAATAAATACGGTGTCATACACTTATTAATTATATCATTGTGTCTTGAACATCACTTCTACAAGACCTGCACCATGTGCATTGGTAACACCAGACTCTCAACACAGATCAATATCAACCGGTCTCACTCTGAAATATTTGTCCTGCAACTCAGTGTTGGGGGTGGCGAGATGTTAACTACCTCGCCTGGTATACCGGACGTTGGGGATTTGAACCCAACCCTGACATCCTTATATATTTGGAGTTTTAATGTCTCTTTCCATGGTTGCATGGATATTTCTCTGGGTCCTCCAGTTTTTCACTCCACATTTGAAAACGTGTGTTTAGAGTATTGGGCTGCTATAAATTTCCACGTGATGAACCATTTCGTTGAGCTATCATTTGTGGCCAGGTTGCTTCTCAAAAATAGCTCTATCACTCCGTCGGCCTTTATAGTTGACTATAAACTGGTCTCACTCTGAAATATTTGCCCCGTAAGTCAGTGTTGGTGATCATAGGGTCATAACCCAATACTTTGGGGTTCATATTTCACCCATTGTGTTGCAGTGGGAACTCCACTGATCACAAGGCAATGGAGGTAGTCACAGTAACACATCTCTCTCTCTCCCACAGGGGTACCTGGAGGAGACGTGCAGGTAAAAGACGACTATCACTCACGACTCGACACACGACAACATAGGACTGAGTGTGGGGTGCGGACAGTGAGACATTGGCTGTGTATGGGGATGCTGCGTGTGATGGTGCTGTGTGTTATGTGCAATGTGTCATGATAGTAATGCCATGTGTTGATGCTGTAATTGTAATGTGAGTGATGATGCTTTGCGTGATGAGTCTCGATATGATGGAGCTGTGATGATCCCACGTGTGATGATGCTGTGATGAGTGTCTATGTAATGGAGCTGTGATGATCCTGTGAGTGGCGATGCTCTATGTGAGACAGTGGCCATGTCTGTTCTACTTTCACAGGACAGGGAGGGTTACAGCAGCTCCACCCTCAGCTCCCAGCCAAGAGGACATTGCCTCGCTTAAAGTCCTGCAGACAACTGCAGTCAAACTCCTGCGTGAGTTCTTCAGTGTGCAACATGGGTGTTGGGGCACTCTTCACAATAAATGATCACCGTGTGTGTGTGTGCATGAGGTCGAATCAGCCTCAAATTATTACCTGGTGTTGTGTGTAAACATCATTAGTGGAGGATCGATGTGGCCCTGCCACGCTCGCAGACGCTGCTCTGAGCCAACTATCATGTACTCTGTCTTGTCCAAGTTTAGCTACAGACAGTTTTGCTTCAGACAAGCATTCTGAAAGAGTAGAGATCGCAGCGCCTGGATCTGACGTACAATGAAAACGAATTTCTTTAGAACATATTGTTGTGTTTAGGTTGTTGTCCTCATACAGCACCTCCGATTAGCATGGTTGGCTATGTACGATGCGAAAGAAGTTCAACATACATACATAGAATCTGAATCAGTATCTTTACACTGGAGGTGGAATGCAATGAGTTATGAAGCTCTTTTTCAAAGATGTCCAGTAGGGGCGGGTCAGAAAGTTACAATAACAGTCCAGACAACCGAACAGAGGATAAAATATAGGAAAGGTTTGCAAATCACTGAAGCTAGATCAATACTAATTAAACAAAGTATATAACTACAATTTACAATCGTATATTACTTCCTATCGAATTTTCAACACTAAATGCAAGCGTGGGCAAGGCAGCAACACAACAGTCCCAGATCACACCAAGACAACACGGAGTGTCTCGAACTCTGGGCCGCCAGGGCGAGCCTATAGCTCCATCGTATAGCTTCAGACGCACCACGGAGGGCCTCAACCTCCGGGCCGTCAGGTCAAACCATCATTCATAGCATGACGGGAACACACTCTCGTTATAGACACTCAACACTTACTGGGCCATCCTGGTCAGGATCTGCACCCCAAGAGATTTGACAGCCAGCACAATACCAAATCAATGGCATGTCACCATCGCCAATGTCGAACAGGCACGCACAATCTGCGATGATCTCAAATACCCAACGGTCACCACAATACGCTTCACATCCCGCATCAGGACCCATTATGTCAGATACTCGCATTGCAGCACACAGCTGTACCAACCGAGTTGAGAGCAAAACAACTATACACAATCCCACGAATTGCCGAATGAGGTAATACAGTACACGCAGCATATACAGTCTATACCTTGGCAACAATAACGATCAAAGTTCCATACGGTCTGTACCTTGGTGACAATAATGGTTTTATGGATGAACAGGGCCCAATGTAGATTTCGTTTTGCATCAAGTGATATGAAATTGGATTTTAAGTCGAGGTCACAGTGGATGCTGCATGGTTACATCTCCATATATATGTAGTGTTCGATTTCACTTGGACAACTTCTGTCTTTCTTCGAACACCACTTTATTTACAACTCTCAGCATGTCCTACACATTCCACAGTATCCTGGGCGCCACGGCTCTCTCGCCGTGCTTCACTCGACTCGCTGGCCACCTGTCTCTCCACTCCCCACGATTACTTTGCTTCCTCCTCACTACACTCTCTCCACTGCTTGCTATTCTCTACGCTCTCTCCACTGCTGGCTATTCTCTTCTTCACACACAGCATCTTCGCACACAGCGTCTTCGCACACAGCGTCTTTGCACACAACGACTTCGCACACAGCGACTTCGCACATTCGCACACAGCATCTTTGCACTTAGCAACTCCACCCTTCAACTCTTAACTCCAACTCCTGTTCACTCCAAGCTCCCCAACTTCAACCCATCTCCAAGCTCAACTCCCTTCAACTCAACTCCCCTCTGTTGACTCCAACTCCCGCTCTTATACTCGCTCTCATTACACCCCCAATTAATTAACCCGCGTCCCAACGGCACTCCGCGTGACCGTCGCACCTGTTTCTCGCCAGACTTCCAGACGCCTCTCCAGCCCCGGCAACAGCACCAACCAATCACAGCCGTCCACGGCTACCCCAGCTTAATTGCCCCAACATAACCTGCACTGTATTCGCCTTCACTACAGACTGACCCAAGATAACCCGTACTGTCTGTGTGATCATGTAATAACTCTATTTGTGCTACGCACCTTCCTACTCCACTACATTTATATAAAAGGCAAAGTTGTGATTATGCGTGTCTGTTCAAAATGTTTAGCGTTTTTCCCGACATGCAACAAACTTGAAATTTGCCATGTGGGTACTTTCCAAACTTGTACACCATGCAAAATTTATAAAAAAGACACTTTTTGGGGGGAGGGGGAGCTCAATAATGCATATATTTTTTGCACGGCAAGTGAGCTGTGACATCAAATCTGTCATGTGACCCGCGCATGTGGAAGTGTAACTCATTGTAGTTTAGCGGTTAGCGCGCTACGCTATGAACCCGGCGACCCGAGTTCGATTCCCGCTCACGGCCTCCACCGGTGACGATTATTTGAACCGGTCTTGGGCCTCCCCTAGGTCGACTCAGCCTCAAACGAGTAACTGGTGTGGTGTGTGAATATCGCCACTGGGGGGACAAAGGCAGCCGGGCGTGGTGAATCCAAGTCCCAGGCGAAGCCGGGTAGTACAGCTAGTCCAATACAAATCGAAGATCAGAATGATGAATGGCGTTTAGTCTTTTAAGTGTTAGATTAGTAGCTGATGTATATGCAGCGTCACCGTAGCCACCGTACCTTATTAAAAAAATTGCGGACGAGATGTTACCAAGATGTACCCTTTTGATAACGGTCTGAGATGTATCTCTGAAATCATTTTATCATACTGTCTGACAATTCTAGTTGACTGTGTCTTATGAGTAGAATATCATGGGCAAGAGTTTCAAAAGGCTTTTGACAATGATACAATGCCACGTTACAGACAGCAAATGCCAATTTGTTGTTAATTTAAGCGGCACAGCCGATGGTGGTCTACCTCGACACATCTGTCACGTCTCCTGCTCAAAGGAGACAAACTTAACCCACGATTCATGAACGCATTTAACACTAACCCTTGAATATGCTCACACAGCAGAATTTGGAAGCTCAGGAGGCGTGTCAAGAGGGAAACACTTCACATATTCAAGGGCCTCTTGTTGTATATATGTATATATCTGTAAATAAGAATATTTACCGATATATACATGTATTTTTTTTCTTTTGTGACAAAAATTTATTAATAAAACACGTAAGAAATTATAAACGTCCTCGAGGAGAGGATGCTAACAGCTATCTGCGAAGATCTCCAGATGAACAAGTGTTTTATGTGCCCCTTAGGAAGGGTCTCTCAGGTCAGATCCGCCAGGCGGGTAGACACATCGACGCCAATGAGTTAAACACATTTCCGTCTTATTTGCTATTGAAACAACGGTTAAAATTTAAAAGGCAACAACAAGAAAAAGATAAAATTAGCGGTCCTCACGCTCACTCCAATTCAGACCAGGCCACCAGATACATCAGTGAATCATTACCCAATTATTAATTCGATATCAAATGATTTTCACCTTTAATACTTTTACGGTTAAATCACAAGCTTGGGGACAGAAATACCGAGTCACGTCAAAGGTTTTCGAGAAGGAAGCACCGCAACGACCGAGTGAACAATCCATCGTTTATAAGAGTGTTCGTAATTTTCCTCGTTAATATTTTGTTGGGGCTGTACTTTTAATCACATAATTTACCAACTGAGCCATCAATACGGATTCATTCTTGGCACCTCACCACGGAGCGCCGCTCACGGGGGTGAATAGCGTGTTCAACCGGTTTCCCTGTCAGGGATCTGGCCACAATTAATTAAAAGATTGGTCCAAGATAAGAATTCCAAAGGAAAACATTGCGGCCATTGAATCGTGGATACGGTCACTTGGGAGTGTTTGAGTCGTTTGTTTTTAATTGCATAATCTTGCTGAGGTATCCATGAATGAACATGACGAATCTGTGAACGCATATGTGCCTTTAGGAATAATAATGGTTTGAGTGTCTTTCATATGAACAGCGTTGCAAAATAATCAATTGTCCTACTGTTAACAACGTGACAAGAATTTGCATTAAGGGTCGCGTATGATCAATGACCGAGTGCCGTGTTGTGTAACAATTCAAGTATACGAATTTGCATATGATAGAGTTAAGGTTTTGTTAGAATAGTTCTGCATGTTTTAATCTCTCTCAACAACCGATTAATTGTGTTACGCGTCAGGAATTAACCACAGGTGCCGTTATCGAAGTGAAACAACGCAATCGTGATGGTTACCGTGTTAATGCTGTGTTGAAATTCCGAGATTGAGAGTTCTCATATTATCCAAAAATTTAAGTTTAGCTAGAAAATAAAATTGATTCAAGTAGAAGGGGTGTGTGTGATTCTTTCCGTGATTCTGCATAAGAATTGTTCTGCGATTGAGATCTGAATCTTGGGGGACCTATAAGTACTCTAACACACATGATACATTCAGTGCATGCTAAAGCGAGAATAATCGTATCCTTATTGATAATACGGAGCCGAGTTGACTCCCTCATTCACGCTCACAACACCTGCATAACTGCATACGATTGTCTCATCCCGATTGATAACCCAACCCTCGTCAGCGAGGCTGGGCCCGATTATCATAACGACCTGCATTATCATAACCACACCCGCTCGCATAAATTAATACGATTATCTCTCGAATTAGCATAATTTATATGCATAATTACACAAATTAACATAATTTCGGATAAATTTTGCAAATTCCAAACGTCATTTAATTTTCATTAGTTTCATCAAATTTTCATAACCTACATATACAACATAATTGTGGGCGTCGTCCGGGATCTCTCGCAGACAGTCTATGCTTGAATTAAGGAACGAATCACTGTTGTATTAACCAAGGTATTGTGAAATAGCATTGCCCTGTGACTGTAATGGGTGTAAAACAAACAAAAAACGCACTCTGAAGGAAATTCCAGAGCAAGCAGAGTATAACAAAGACAGTTGGATTAAGATTATCTGCTCGAGCTGAACTGATACATCCTGTGATGCAATTGTTTTTATACGTGCTCTGAAGGGGAATTCCAGAGTAACTCACACCGCACATGAGATGTAAGAATTAAGATACACTCTTAAGTCTATTAACTACACTACGTAAGATAAATAGCACAGGATCTGCAACATTCGGAGGTTGACACCCCAATGCATACCACTGACACAGAGGGTACCTCCCCGGAGGAGATGGAATCTATGGAAAAACAATATCGTGAAATTGTGTTAAAACGTACTGGCCGAACTGCTAAAGAGCAGACAGAGCAGAGGGACATATGGGAGGGGACACATATCGAGGACATTAAGGAACATCGGAGGAAACTTCTTAAGGACGTGATAAAATGTAACAAAGCCGAACGTGATGTAAAAATTGCGGAAATAGCAAGGTTAGCCTCATATTTCCTCACACAGACAGACAGAGAAAGGGCATGGAATGCGGAAAATTTTGAAAGGGAAAGAGAGAAGAAACTGTCCCTGATGGGGGAGGTAGAACATCTGCGCGCCCTCGTGGGAGAGAAAGAATCGGCGCTAGCTGCACCAGCGAAACCCCCAGACGTTGATACACATAACACATACGGGAGTAACATTTTACCACACTCCGAGCCATGCGTACCAATCAAATCAATTTTGACAGAGAAACTCCCTCGCAATTCGAGAGAAAGGAAGGAGAAATATGGATAGAAACAGGAAAACATGGGGCTGACGACCTCGAGGTTAGAGAGAGACAAAAACCCAAGGCAAAATTGCCAGGATACGCAGTATCCTGGCAATAGCACCAAAAGGGGCGGAGCCAGGGCGGAACGAGCGGTACATAGTTCGCCAGAAAGACGCACGTTATGCAAATATGACCGATATGATGCAGATGACAGAGACAGCTCACTAGGAAGACACATTTCACACTAGCACGACCGACGTGGAACCTACAGCAGGGACCGCTCGCCAGAGAGACGTACATCACACAAATATGACCAATCAGACACAGACAGCTCACCAGAGAAGCGCACCTCACGCAAACATGACCAACATGACACGGGTACCAGGGACAGCTCCCCAGAAAGACGCGCGACACATAAAACTCACCAATGCAAAACAACCCGCACCACAGATGACAGACACAGGAATCCTGACAGTCACAAAGCACGAGACCAACGTAAATACAGCACATCACCTAGCAGACATCACGCACGTGGTAAACGGCATGAAGGTCAAGAACAAAAACACTCACCACATAGACACAGCTCAAGGAGATCACGCACACCAACCCACAAGCACGAATCACAAGGCCCACATAAGAAAAACAAAGGACACAAGTCACGAGACAGATGCAAATCCTCGGACAGAGGGAGACCACGACACAGACAAGGGAAACATGACAGCAGTGATAGGGAAGACAGGGACAGCTCGAGTGAGCACTCCTCAGGAAC